TGTGCGAGACATATTTGTATACTATTGAGCAGAATAATAGTGAGAAAAATTGGACACCTGAAGGGAATAGCAGAATATAGAACTGGAAAGTCATTGAGGACTCTCTGGCAGTTTCTAGGTTAGTAAATGACGATGTTAACCCATTGTGAGAAAAGGATCATCAAAATATAAAGATAGGGTTTTACTTAAAGAGATTTTATCACATATATATACTACAAAGTTTAGTTAGAGCTGCTGTAATTTGAAAGGAGCGACAGGTACCTGAGAAATGATGTGAGAAGAATGCACGAACCTGTAAAAACTGCTGAGAAACACTGAAAATTGGATAGCACTTGTTAAAGTAATTTTTCTTCAAAGTGTACATCTCAGGTTGTCTTTCTGCCTTTTAGCAAACAAACAAAACTCTGGACTGAATCAAAGCTGAACCATTTCCTAAAATCAAAACCGTCGAGACAGAAAGCCGGAAATTTGACAAGTTCTGGGTGAATGACAGATCCGTGTCCCCTCGGTTAACCCAGCTGCACTCCCCAGGATACAGAGAATTGACTGTACTTTCTGTTGACTTTGGACAATAGGTTTCCCACCTATATTCACTCTGTTTAAGAGCCTTGATGAACAGTCCTTCAAAGTGATTTCTGAAGCTTTTATTTTTTCTCCTTTTGTCCAAGGACTTCAGACTGGCAGCTCATGAAGGCTGATCTTTAGTTCTACGAATACTCTGTCATCAGTTTCCAGCCTATACTCCTAGGTTCACTTCGCAACTGACTGCTTGAAGAGCCATAAAATTGGGGTGTCACCACTGCACAGCTCAGTGACTCCTAACACCTAGCTTGTATTTGTCACAATGCCGATCACTCTTTCCTAAAGTATTCTAGCTCACTGAAATTTTGTGTATAAAGAGTGGGACACCTTATATACAGGGGACACCTGTGACACTTTCAACAATAAATTTTTTTAAAAAAAACTGGCCACCATATTTACATGTATGCTATATACAAGTCATCTGAACAAATTTAATTTTTATGCCATGTTCTGGGTATTTTCTTATCTGTTGTTGTCTGGAATTTATTAAAGTCCACTCTTCTCTCAAACAAGATTTCTATTTTCTTAACTTTTTTTTTTTAACATTTGAGGAATTCTCCCTTGGGGCTACTCTGAACAGGTTGACTGGTCTCATATGAAACAAAATAAACAAATAATGCTGGATTCAACTATATTAACATTTTTAGTTAATGGATATTTCCTGAAAAGCTAAAATGTTCTACTTGCCAATAAATTTTAGTATAGCAACAGTTAGGGATAATAGGTCCAATACATCATTTTAAATATCTGCTGAAGAAATGATAATGTGTATGTTCAAGTAGCTTTAACAAATTAGAAATATAAATCTTTGAAATATATAAAAATAATAAACATTATCAGTAGACATTATATTATTCTAATAAAAGTAATTTTCATTAAAATATATAAAATTTTGACTAGGAAAATAGTTATTATATATATGTAAGTATATATATATATTTATATATATACACATACACATACACACACACTATATGTATATTCATATGAGGAGATATGACCCAAATTTACTTATGTAAAACTTGTCATCAGTCATCACTAATGACGTCATATTTCACGCAACTTAGAAACAGTCATTTTTCTATTCATCAAAAGTGATTCATAAAATATTAAATTGTTTCTTTACACTTAATACATTTATATTTTCACCCTAAATTACATTAATAGATTTTATACTTTCTCTTCTCCTTTTTAAAATGTAAATATATCCATGGTTTTTAACCAGAAGCTTAGATTGATATCTGATCATTGAAATTTCCATATTTTGGTTGATTCTCAAGGACAAAGACTGATAACATATTAGACCACTAGGTAAGACCTACAAAATATAAGACTATGAAAAAATGATACAGTCAATATTGAATTATCTAGTCAATGCAAACTATATATATGCGCAAGGCTTTTATTCTGCCTTTTTTCTATGCCTCATGCAACTCATCGTTCTCTCAGTGCTTTTTACAAAAACGCCACACTCCCCACCTCACTTTGCTGAGCCTACTTCATGAATGTAGAGACTTCCTCTGTTCAAAGTTTTATGGTCTGTATCAGTTACATAACTTTGGGTTGCCAAAAAAACCTGAAAATCTAGCATAAATTTACTGAAACAAGGTGGGGGAGGATGTACTGACTCATATAAATGGCTTGTTCAGTAGATTTGGTTTCAGACAAGGCTTTATAACTCAAATACTGAGGACAAGATTCTCTCTTTCCTTCTGTCAATCTCCCTCCTTCCCTACTTCTCTCTCTCTCTCTCTCTCTCTCTCTCTCTCTCTCTCTTTCTTTCCATATCCCCATTGTTCATTCACCTATACCTTGCTTGTTGGCTCCGTTCTTAGGTAAGACTATATTCTCAAGGTCCCAAAAAAGCCACCAAAATAGCCCAAGGCTACATGCTTTCTTGTGCAGCTCTAGTGTTAAAGTGAGTCATGGCTCAAAGTCCAGATGAGACTAGGCCCCATTTGGCTAGAGTTAGATCTTGAGCCAATCATAATATGCTTGATGTAATATGCAATAAACTTTCGCTAATCAGAATATGCTTCTGTAGCTTGGGCTGTGGTCAAAAGTACTCATACTATATTTCTGGGAAATGTTGGCAACAGTTGAAAATGGGAGAGGGGTAAATGGATGCTAAGAAAACAAATATGATAGGCAAATTTTCATTACTGATGTCCAGACTTTAGATTCGGTGTATATAGGGTGAAATAGGTAAAATAAATAGTTGATTTGCATACATATTTAATGTACTTTTGACTAAATTTCTGAGTGAAAATTTTCCTACACTAAAACTCAGGGCTATACTTAGAACATTTAATAGTAAGATATAATTATAATATGCTTTACAAACTACAAATATTGCTGTCATTGCTTTAAAATAAAGTATCTCATTCTGTATCTTTTTCATGATCTCTTCTGATATATGTCATAGTGAGCAACAAGTGTGTTTATGTATTTATGAGAAAACTTAAAAGTTTTTTTACCTTGGCTGTATCATGATTATTATTGTCCAAAGCATTGTGGTAAAGTGTCATTTTTCTGTATTTAAGATTAGTTTAAGTTTAACAACTCACTCAGACTGGTCAATCAATCTTTGGAAAGTCTAAATGTAATACTTTGTATTAGAAATGATGAAAGAGCCCTGGCCAGTTTGGCTCAGCAGTTAGAGCGTCGGCCTGCGGTCTGGAGAGACCCGGGTTCGGTTCCGGCTAAGGGCATATACCTCGGTTGCAGTTTGTCCCCGGCCCTGGTTGGTCGTGCGAGTGGCAGCCACTCGATGTGTCCCTTTCACATCGATGTTTCTCTCTCTCTCTCTCCCTCCTACTCTATCTGAACAACGAATGAAAAAGTGTCCTCAGGTGAGGATAAGAAATAAATAAAAAATAAAAAAAAAGAAATGATGAAAGAAAGACCCATTATAACATGAAATATCATCTCAATTTACATACATCTCTGTCTGAACTTTTCTAAAACCAATGATAATTACTATATCCATGAAAAAAAGTTGATATAGCATAATTCCTTGGAAAGCAGGCCCATCTTGCTGCTCCTTTAACATTAGAGTTATGAACAGGTTTAAGTGTACATTGCTATATTACTTCTAAGCTTCATATGTGTTGCTAAGTTATTGTAGAGAAGTAGCTGGAGAGTGCTATTTTGCTTAGCTCTGCCATGATAGTGCAGACATTTGACATATTGTGGAACATATTGATATAGTTATTTGATAAGGAAGATAGTTGTTAACATACATTTTTACATATACGGAAGTACTCAGATGTCCATCATGATTGAATTCTCAGGATAACTTGAGATTCTAGAAAGTGAGACCTCATTCTGTAGATGCAGATGCAGAGGCTCCCAGCCGGGAGGTGCTACATGGCCAGCGGGGGGCCAACCACTCACTGAGGCAGGACAGTGGCAGGTACGGGAGGGTTCTGAATATTTACTGAATTAATTAATCAATTAATTAAATCTAGTCTTACAGAAGTCCAGTGCTTTCCCTACACGAGGACATCGGCTGATCATAGTTATCGATATTTCCCACTTTGCCCAGCCAATAATCAGTGTAGGAGGCTCTCAATCTATAGAACTTTGAAAAGCTATGTCTCTACCACAGGGAAATTCCCCATGTTTTCAGATTTTTTTTTTTTTTTTTTTTTTTTAGGCTTCTTCAAAACATTTTTTAAAATGCTTTTGTTGTCAAGAGAAAAACAGATGCAATAAAACAAGGGTAGTTGAGCCTCTAGGTCTGGACACAAACACAGAGCACCCCAAGTTGAATTTCACAGCGCCTGCAAACACAGTTAACAACACGTAAGGAGAGGCTCCTCTTCGGAATTCCAACGCTGAAGCCGGAGGCAGAAGGAAGAGGCGCAGCTTGCACCCCGCACAGGTAGCTGCCCAACTTCGCGTTGTCCTACGTGGTCCAACAAGGCCTGACAACCCGCACCACAGCACAGGCAGCATCTCGCGGGCAATGACGCGGAAAGACAGAGGGCTTTTTCAGTCAATTGCAGGAATTAGGCTTTAATGCTTTCTACGCGAGGACTCCGTAGCCCAGATAGCTGACTGCTATCCACTGAATCTTGGCAGGCACCACGCTGCTGAGGCTGAAACCGGGAAGCTAGGCTAAGCAGATTTTCATGAAAGTACAAAACGCTGCATTTGTAAAGCGGCTTGTCTTTACTGCAGCCCAAAATGCGTTTCCTCGTTTTCCAGCCTCTCAGGTTGGCCAGCTCTCAGTCTTTATCAAAATTACCTTCCATAAACGTCCCTTAAAGAGCCAGAAAAGATAAATGCTCCCGTCCTCAAAAATAAATACATTTTTAAGCACAATCCTAAACATGGCAATTTAAGAGATTAGAAATGATCAGGGTCCTTACAAAAAAAAGACAAGACACACAAGAAGACGTTAGATACGGTACCGGTAAGTGGGAGTTCTAGAGGGCTACAGACTCCGTTTTTGGTCCCCTCTCTGGACGAAGAGGTGAGTTTTGCAGCGAGCGCGGCTGAGATCGGCTGTACCAGCAGAGAGGTGAGGTTTGATCGGTTTTGCCTGAAGCTCCCATCTGTATTCAAAAGAGGAAGGAACAGAATCCTTTGTCAAGGGACATTAAAACACTCGAATAAAATCTTCTTTTGTAACAAGTATTTAAATTATGAGTGGTAATTTATTTTGTAACAAGTATTTAAATTATGAGTGGTAATGTATTTTGTTACTTATTAAAAATGATTTGAACCCAGCCTGTGTGGTTCAGTGGACTGAACACTGTCCCATGGACTGAGAGGTCCTGGTTCAATTCCTTGTCGGGGCACATGCCTGGATTTTAAGCTCAATCCCCAGTAGGGGGCGCAGGAGGCAGATGATTGATGTTTCTCATATAGATGATTCTTTCTCCCTTCCTCTTTCTCTAAAAAATCAATAAAATCATATTTTAAAAAAGTGATTTGAGATACTTAATAAAAATTCAATCCGAATGTTATTTTGAATCCTTGTTAATGATAGCAGATTGTATACACACACTTACCTCCATTCTCCACTGAAATGACAAAAAAAAAAAGAATAAAATAAAGCATAAATCTACATGAACCAAGAGAATAACAAAACAATAAGATTCTACAAGCAATAAAGCAAATGAATAATTGTCAACTGATATAACAGACCAAGGAGATCAAAACCTAAGCCAGGAAAGCAGAAAAAATGGTGGCGGAGTGAATGGAGCTACACAGACCATCTCCCAGGACCAAACTGGAATTACAACGAAAATAAAGACAAATCGTCAGGAAGGGGCAACTGAAAGGCAGCTTGGAGGACCACATAACCAGGGACACTGACTCAATCCTGGTAGGCTTGCGAGGACGCGAGAGGGGGCGGGGAGCCCAGGGTTCACAGCGGCCTGGGTGGGACCAGCGGACTCAGCTAGAAGCTGCGCCCTCAGCTGGGTCCAGCAGCTGCCTCGGTTGGGTCCTGCACCCTCAGCAGGGTGTTACGCCCTGGGCTGGGACGAGCAGCTGCCTCAGCGGGGTCTTACAACCTCAGCCGGGAGCTATGCCCTCGGCTGGGAGCTGCAGCAGCCTTGGCAGAGATTAGCTGGGAGCGGCGCCCTCAGGTTAAAGTCCCAGGCAACTCCACAGCGCAGAGCCCGACAGAGGGTAAATTGGCAGCAGCCACTCACCTTGGACTCCGGCAGAGGGAAGGCAGACTGGACTGGAACAGTGTGGGGACACTCAGGATTTGGAGGGTGCTCAGAGCTTTTGCTGAGTGCAGCCACGCAGGACGGTGGTCATCTTACTCCTACCCAGGGCCCTGAGGAGAGGCAGCAGCCCCTCTCTCAGAGATTCAACCCCACCTGGTGGCCACTGAAATGCTAATTGAGGCCCATTAACAACAAGCAGCTGCCCCACCCTCGGGAAATCCTCTTACATTGAGCACCTGAGGGAGTTTTTCATTCAACTCAGAAACAAATGTTCTTCAGGTGACCTCTACTAATAGCCTCCAGGCAAAAAATCTAGAGGTTAACTACCATTCCCTGGGCTAGCAACTGTAACCAGAAAAGTTAAGACTTGACAGTGGTATTTAACGTGGGTCCTCCCTGCCTCATCCAAACCCAGGAGAGGGAGCCACAAACAGCAGAACACCAACACCCACAGGGAAAGTTTGGCAGGCTCCAAAGCCCACTGTGATAGACAAAATGGTGAAAAACAGAAACAAAAGCCAAATGAAAGAACAAGAGACCTCAAACGAAGAGGAGATAAATGAGGTAGAGTTAAGCAAGTTAACAGAACTAGAATTCAGAGCCATGATCTTGAGGAAGCCCAACAGCATGTGTAAGGACATGAGCACCATGAGTAAAGACATAGAAATGTTGAAAATCAACCAGTTGGAAATTAAAAAACACCAAGAAGAAATGAAGAATGACATAGCATGAATAAAAAACACATTGGAAAGTCTAAATATCAGAGTAGGGGAAGCTGAGGACCAGATCAGTGAATTGGAAGATAGGGTAGAAAAAAATCAACCAATTAGAAAACCAAAAGGAAAAAATAATTAAAGAACAGGAAAACAGCTTAAAAGAACTGTGGGACAACTGGAAACGTAATAACATGCGCATCATAGGAGTCCCCGAAAAAGAAGAAAATGAGCAAGGGTTAGAGAATATATTTGAATAAATAGTGACAGAAAACTTCCCTAATTTGGTGAAGGAAGAAGGTATTCAAGTTCAAGAACACAGAGAGCGCCAAGTAAGAAGAACCCAAACAAGCCCACACCAAGACACATAGTAATCAAAGTGCCAAAAATTCAAGATAAAGAGAGTATCCTAAAAGCAGCAAGAGAGAAGCAATAGGTTACCTACAAAGAAAACCCCATAAGGCTCTCAGCTGACTTCTCAACAGAAACTCTACAGGCCAGAAGGGAATGGCATGAGGTAATCAAGGTCATGAAAAACAAGAATCTGAATCCAAGACTACTCTACCCAGCAAGGTATTATTCAAAATAGAAGGTTAAATAAAGCGCTTCTCAGGAAAAAAAAGGCTAAGGGAATACATTAGAACCAAACCAACACTGCAAGAAATGTTAAAAGGACTGCTGTAATTAGCAGGAGAAATCGGAAGAAAAATAGAACCACACTAAACAAAAATGGCAATAAATGAGTACATATAAATAACCACCTTAAATGTAAATGGATTGAATGCTCCCATAAAAGACACGGAGTAGCTGATGGGATAATAAAGCATGACTCATCTATATGTTGTTTACAAGAGACCCACCTCACAACAAAAGACTCACATAGGTTGAAAGTGAAGGGATGGAAAAAATTTTCCAAGTGAACTGAGAGGAATAAAAAGCTGGGGTAGCAATACTCATATCTGATAAAATAGATTTTAAAATGAAGGCAATAACCAGAGACAAAGAAGGCCACTACATAATATTGAAAGATCTATCCAACAGGAAGATATAACCTTGATAAACATATATGCACCCAATATAGGAGCACCAAAATATATTAAAAAACTTATGAAGGACTTCAAAGGAGAAATAGATAGCAATACAATCATAGCAGGGGACTTCAACACCCCGCTGACATCACTGGATGGATCCTCTAAACAAAAAATTTGCAAGGAAATAGAGATTCTAAATGAAGCACTAGACCAAATGGATTTAATAGATATCTACAGAGAATTACACCCCAATACTACAGAAGTCATATTCTTCTCAAGTGCACATGGGACATTCTCAAATACAGACCACATGTTAGAACACAAACTAAGTCTCTACAGATTCAAGAAGGCTGAAATCATATCAAGCATCTTCTCAGATCACAATGGAATGAAACTAGAAATCAATTGATGAAGAACATACAAAGACATTCGAACACATGGAAGCTAAATAGCATGTTATTAAACAATGAATAGGATACCGAAGAGATCAAGGAAGAAATTAAAAACTTCCTGGAAACCAATGAAAATGAACACACAACAACAGAAAATATGGGATGCAGCAAAAGCAGTTCTGAGAGGGAAGTTCATAGCACTACAGGTCTACCTCAACAAGAAAAATCTCTAATAGACTATCTAACCTCACAACTTAAAGAACTAGAGAGCAAACAAAAAGAAAACCTCAGAGCAAGTAGAAGGAAGGAAATAGTAAAGATAAGAGCAGAAATAAACGACATAGAGACCAAAAAAAAAAAAAAAACAATTCAAAGGATCAATGAAACAAAGAGCTGGTTTTTCAAAAAGATAAACAAGATTGATGGACCATTAGCTAGATTCACCAAGAAACAAAGAGAGAGAACCCAAATACACAAAATCAGAAATGAAAGAGGAGAAGTAACAACTGACACCACAGATATACAAAAGATCATTAACAACTACTATGGACAATTATATGGCAGCAAATTTGACAATCTAAGTGAAATGGACTAATTTCTAGAAACACATAGTCTGCTAAAACGGGACCAGGAAGAGATAGAAAACTTGAACAGGCAAATAACAACAGAAGAAATTGAAGATGTAATCAAGACTCTCCCAGCAAACAAAAGCCCAGGCCCCGATGGCTTCACAGGGGAGTTTTACCAAACATTCAAAGAAGAATGAATACCCATTCACTTCAAACTATTTCAAAAAATTCAAGAAAACCACATGATCATATCAATAGATGCCGAAAAAGCCTTCAACAAAATCCAGCATCCATTTCTGATAAAAATGCTCAGCAACATGGCAATAGAGGGATTATATATAGACATAATAAAGGCCATATATGAAAGACCTACAGCCAACATCATACTCAATGGGCAAAAACTAAAAGCATTTCCCTAAAGAACAGGAACAAGGCAAGGATGCCTACTTTCACCACTCTTATTTAACATAGTACTGGAAGTCTTAGCCACAGCAATCAGACAGGAAGAAAAAATAAAAGGGATCCAAATTGGAAAGGAAGAAGTGAAACTGTCATTATTTGCAGATGACATGATACTATACATAGAAAACCCCAAAGACTCCATCAAAAATTTACTTGACTTAATAAATGAATTTGGAAAAGTAGAAGAATACAAAATTAACATCAAGAAATCGATGGCATTCTTATACACCAGTGATGAACTCACAGAAAGAGAAACTAGGAAAACAATCCCATTTACCATTGCGGCAAAAAAATTAAGATACCTAGGAATAAACTTAACCAAAGAAATAAAGTACCTATTCGCAGAAAACTACAGGTCATTGAAAAAAGAAATAGAGGAAGATATAAAAAAGTGGAAGCACATACCCTGTACATGGATTGGAAGAACTAACATCATTAAATGTCCCTACTACCCAAAGCAATCTATAGATTCAATGCATTCCCCATCAAAATACCAACAGCATACTTCACAGAATTAGAACAAGTACTTCAAAAGTTCATATAAAACCAAAAAAGACCTCGAATAGCCACAGCAATCTTGAAAAAGAAGAACAAAGTTGGAGGGATCACATTACCAGATTTCAGGTTATACTACAAAGCCACTGTAATAAAATAGCCTGGTCCTGGCACAAGAACAGGCATATAGTCCAGTGGAACAGAATAGAG